CTTTTACACAAACTAACTCTGGAAGGAAGAAAATGGGAGGGGGGATTTGGTGATTCAATGTTGTAGTGACAACGTTTGATTGTATGCCTCACAACAATGAAACATATAAAGAAGCCAAATGTCAAAGATTTTTGCCTGATATGTAATCAAAAAAATTGTATTTATATTTAAGAGAGAGAATAACAATATACGAAAAAATTAAAGCCAAGACTTTTACAGTATATGCCCCTCTACATCCAAGACAAAACGTCATTTAATATATCTGCTAATCAACCCTTTAAACACTTTAAGGACATGGACCCAATCCATCAAAAAACAATAGGCTGACATGCGAAAGGCTGTGGCACAAGGTAATAGTAAGCATTCATGGGTAAGGCTGGGATGCAAAAGTTGCTCCCCACACTTCCTCAGCTACTCTGTGGAAAGCAATTCATGTTGCTTACCCAATCTTTCTTAATTCCGTCAGGTTCAATATGGGAAGGGTGACAAAATTCATTTCTAGGAGATTCATCCAAAAAAAAATATTTGCTTCTGGGAGGATTTACGGTCAGGGTAATTTCTTCTTAAGGACCTTTTTCCTCATCCTTTGGATATTTCTCAGTTTAAAGGGGAACACATATCCAAAATAGGAATACCTTCTCCAAATGGTTTAAATTGGAACCTCAGGTTCAGAAGAGGCTTGAAGGATTCTGAGTGTTCTTCTTTGATACACTTACTTGATACCTTAAGGCAGGTCTCGCTGGATTCCTCCCTTGAGGATTCCAGAATTTGGACGATTTCTCCAGATGGCCTCTTTGCTTGTTCCTCCTTCAAGTCCCTTGCCCCATCTAACCATCAAGGGGTGAACTTCCCAATGAAAGAAATTTGGAGTAAGCCTATTCCACTCAAATTTCAAGCTTTCTGCTGGGAATTTTTTCTTGGTAAGGTAAATACTTGTGATAGTTGCAGAAAAGAAGGCCTTCTATGTGCCTTTTATGTAGGGATAGTGGTGAGACCCTATCCCATTTACTAATCCCCTGTCCCTTTGTGTTTAAAACCTGGGAGTTTTTCAACTCTCTCTTCAGGTGCAGATGGGCCCCCCAGCCCCCCTCAAGACGTGGTTGGCCTATTCAATCCTAACTTCTTAAGGCAACCAAAGAAACAGGGGAAAGTGCTTTGAAGGGCCACTAAGGCAGCAATTTGCTGGGTGGTGTGGGAAGAGAGGAATAGTCTTCTTGGAGAAGAGCATAACATTGGAAGAAGTGATAGACAGCATAAAAATAAAGGTAGCCTTTACTTTCTCAGTAACTGACTTCTCAAGGGCCTGGGCAGAAATAGCGCAATCATGAAGAATAAAAGACAGAGTGTGTATGGAGTGGAAACTCCCAACAGATAATAAAGTAAAATTTTTATCTCATGGGAATGGGGAGGGGGGGATTGTTGCAATGTTTTCAGGGCCAATTGGTTTAGGAAACTCTTTGAAGATTGAACTGTTGGATCTGTTGCAAGATCATAGACTAGCTGAACAGATGAGATTTAGAGTGACTGAGATGGAAGGAGACTCACAAGTGGTCATCTCATGGGAAAAATCAAACAGGTGTATCCCTTGGACCCTTCAGCACATACTAAGAGAAGTGGAAAAGATAGTAAGAAAATTAGAGGTTGAACTCAAATGGATTAGGAGTGCAAATGGCTTGGATAATTCCTTAGCAAAACAAGGGGTTATGAAGCAGCAATTGTTTTGAGCATCTTTGCAGCTTGGATTATGAAGGGATTGACACTCTGATCAATCAAGTTGTATTAATCACCCCTATTTTCCAATTTCATTTAATAAAATAAATCTACTTCTGCTGATTAAAAAAAATAGGCATCAAGATGCAGCCAAACTAATGGCTTATAAGATTCTTCAAAAATTCTGCTATTTCACCCCTCTCAAACTTCACAACATATAGAAAAAGGGACCATAGACCGCAATTAAAAGGAATAAATTAATCACAAATTCCCCAAATGATTTGTTTCTTGTACAAACCAAAAGAAAAAAAAGAAAAAAATAAAACCTCTAAATGATCCGCCCATAGGACAACAATTTCCAAATATACCCTACGTTTTACATAATCTATGGTGAACATTTTACCAAGAAAAACCAGCCACACAAAAGCATCCTGATGTAGGACCGGTAGAGAAATGACTGAAAAAACTTCACTAGAAAGTAAAAATGAGATTTATATGAACATCTAAGGAGAAAAAAGCACTGTTTTATCAGTAACAAAGAAAAAAAAAACACTGTTGGTAAGGTTTAAGATGGATTATATGGCTGGCAGATCAGTTTAAAGGAGCAAAACTAATGATAAAAGAATTGAGTTGGGAAGAATCAATGTTAAGCTGGAAACTGACCACAAGGGCCTCAGCTTACTTGGCAGTTGGCACCTACCCTACAAAAGCCAAGCTGCCCAGATGTTTAGGCCTATAGACCAACTTCAATTGAACCAAGTGACTTTTTTATCAGTTTAGCCAAGTAGAATTTTCCTTTTTCACCCCATCTATTCCATAGGAAATATTGTTGAATCTTCAACCCCATCCTTAGGCAAATAGCCCCCTTATCAGTTAACCTTGGTGATGGGAAAAAGAAGAAATTGTCAGAAGGAAAGATTAGACAGGTACTTTACTCACTACAATTTTATTACCAAACAGGGATATTTCTATAATACAATACTTTTATTTGATAATGATATAGGATGCCCTAGTTGAGTGGGTGAGAACTCTCTTCTCTCCTCTCTTCTCCACTTCCTATTCTAAACTCACTTCATTTGGTATTACTCATAGTCCCATTACCGCTCACACATTGCACAATAAAACAAGTCACAGATTGTCAGCAACAACGGCTCAACCATTCCTGTACTCAAATATTCATGCCCATGCAAACGATGGATAAGGATCAAATCATCAAATATTACAAGATGAGCAGACACTCTAACCTGGAAAATGACAATTAAGAATTCTAAGCAAGGTCCAAAGTATCGATACGATACGAGTTTAGGTTGTATCGTATCGGTACTTAGAAACGGCCGAAACTCTTTTTTCTTTTAGTTTTTTTTTTCAAATTTTGGTTTTTTGGGAAGCTTTTAGCATGCTTTTTATTATTAAAAAAAATTGGGGGTCCAAAACACCTGGAAACAGGCGTTTCGGACCGTATCTTTTTCAAAAGATACGATACGATACTTTGAACCATGATTCTAAGTGGACAGTATTGCATTCATTAATGGGGCACCTTCCTGGCAACTAGATTCCTTGCCGTTCTTGTAATAGAAGATCATCAAATCATTGTCAAGTGGATAAGAAAGGAAGCTTCTTGAGCTCTCTACAACGGAGATTGCATTTGGACCTTTTGCCTAGAGTCCTAGACAATAAGTTGGGTTCAGTGTTTCTCCAGCTGAAAAACTGAGATAAATTCCACCAGTTCAGAAACCCTAACCCTAGAAGAGCTGCAAGAAGGGCCTGCTTCTCTCTTCCTCAGAGACATGGTGAAGTCGAAGAACCACACAGCTCAAACTCAGTCCTACAAGGCCCATATGAATGGGATCAAGAAGCCCAGGAGACGCACACTTCCACCAAGGGGATGGATCCAAAGTTTTTGAGGAACCAAAGGTACGAGAGGAAGCACAACAAGAAGAACGGGGGATCAGGGAGCGAGGGTGAATGGTAAACACAGAGCCATGGAGGCGCGAGGTTACTTTAATTAGAGTTGCTTTAAAAATCTAGGTTTCTATTTCTTATAAACATCCCCCCCAGAAAGATGGTTTCATGGTGATAGAAGATAGAATCTCCTTTTGCTATTGGTTACATTTGACTTGCAAGTAGTATTGATAACCTTAATGTTGATTTTTATTGAAGTGATAAAAAAAGACTGAGCTAAATTCCCTAACAAAAAAAACATGAAGGGGAAGAGAACTTACAAGAGTAAGAAGCCATTTGGTAATGATTGAAGTCAATGAACTGAATACCTTATTGCTTTGTATTTTAGTGAATAAGTCATAAGTAGGTTGTGAGCTCCTTAATAGATTGACAACATGTCGGGTTAATTATTTTGCCCCTAAATGCATCATTATATGACTATTTTCTTCACTAAAAGACAAAGCAATAATCAATCCAGTCCAGCAACTTTGTGTTATCAAACAGACCCTAGCTTTGCACCTTAAAATGAATAATGACTTAACAAGAAATCACAGAATTTATGGATGCCAATATTTAATTTCTTGAAATGGATTATTTCCATCTAGAACTAAGATTTTGCACTGATCAGTGACCAATGAGACATCCAAGTTAGGTCTTAGCATAATATTTATTCTACGATATAGTTTCAAATTCCAAACCCTTTATATTGTCTTTAATTCTCCCTACTTCTGTATAATATTCTTATCAGAGTGTTGTCTCTTAAAACCTTAACAATCTAATTAATTTTATCTTGTCTCACTGGTTGGAGTTGTTGCATTAACTCTTCAAACTGGTTGAACCATTGAAGTGGCTACAACAAACTCACATCAGATGCCAGAACTTGACAGAAGTTGCTTCAATTTTGAAGTCTAAACATGGAAATTTATAAAGAAGGGATAGAGCAGCCCACAGCCTTTTCAAGGACAGAGACCAAAAGGATATACCTTACATTTGTATCATTTTTTATAGGTGTGGCACCAGTTTTTCTTTCTTTTTGCTTATCCATCAGATTTTTTTTTTATCAATTATCCATCAGAAATATTGGAGTTATCCCCACAAAGAATCATTCCTCTAGCATCCAGAGAGGAAAAATCATGTGCACAAATGCTGTCATTTTGTGGAGTGTTTGAAATGAAAGGAACTCCAAAATTTTCAACTACAAAAAGCTTTTAAGGCCCTGTGAATATAAAAGTATATAAAAAAAATAGCAGAGATGTCTTATGTCAGACACCATGGCCAAGTTTCACTGAAGCCAGCACAATATGTTTAAAGAATTTAGGATAGAGAAAGAAAGAACATGAAGAAATTACCATTACAAACTCAACAAAAGCAATACGGGTAGAATGGTGATAGTCTCCTAGCAGTCTCAAACGATAAACCTGCGTGTAAAAGATGCAACCCATAAACTCTCTTTTTCCAAACATGGATCCAATAATTCAAAATGAAATAGAAGCTTTGTGTTTGATGGAATAGCAGCTACAGACCTCTCCACAAATTGATTCAAAGAAGAGTTTGACATCTGCTTGAGAAACCTATACCAAATTAACAACGGACTTAGGAAAGAGCCTACCAGTTCATGCATTATATCACATTTTAAAATGAAATAGAAATTCCAAATTACCTTCTTATCAATATTTGTACAATAAATAGTTCTTGCACACATTTCACGTTCATCTTCAGACTGTAGGCCAGAAAAGCATGGTCACCAAGAAATTAGAAAAAACGGAACCCAGAAAGAGTAAGGCATGACTTGGGACTGCTGAAATAGGTACTGGAAGCAGAATGCAAAACATTTCAAACTTAGAAATGGCTTAAATTCAGCAGTGTTTTTGATATATCATCAAATTTATGTGTAAAATAATCACTCTTAGGCCTGTGTATTCTCAGTAATTAAGTAGGACTCTAGTTGCTAAAATACTCAATAGCAAATATTTTAATTTAGAATCTTTTCAGCATTCTACTTTCAACTCTTATTTCAGAAGTTATTAAACGCCACCTTAGCTCTTAAATTCAGAAATATGAAAATTTTAATGAAGCATTATCATTGTAAAGAAACATATAAGTAACCACAGTTGCAGACTTCCTCACCCTTGGCAGGAATGTCGGGTTAACAGGTGCAATTGCAGTCTTTGAGGGCAGCACCCTAACTGGGTAGTATCCAAGCATCGTCCCTGCCAGACTCAATGCAGCCCTTGCACCCTCTGAGTTGTCACATGACCAAGAAGCAAACAACCGTTGATTCAGAATAGGAAACAAAATAAGAAGTTGATCAAGAAGGTAAACCAAATAGCCTACTGAGTTCATGAAGTTTACCCTCGTCAGTAAACTCAATGAAAGCAAAACGAAGAACGGAATTAGGATCACCACATACACGGCAGTCAACGATCTTCAGCCCACGAAAGAGGAAGCCATTAAGAGATAAGTCACCATCGCCAGAGCAAAGCGCAGTTTAGAGTAACAAAAAACGAACTTGAGTTACCTGTCCACAGTTTATAAAAAGGGCGGCGAGCTGCTCTTCAGTCACCTAGACACCAAATACAAAATATTTTAAGTAAAGTATTAAGCGACAGGCATTATATATAATAAAAAAATAAAAAGAAAAGGGAAAAAAAGAGCAACTGAGGGGGCAGGAGGAATTCTACCTAAAAAACGAAGGGGGCGGGAAAGGAAAGAAAAATGGAAACCTCACGAAGCTAATGTAATTGCTTACCTGCTGATCAATGTCAGATACATATACAGTCCTCCTAATTACTTCTTCTCGTTGTGCCATACTTGTTCTGCTGTTCACTTTCCGTTTCCCTTGATTATAGTTATTCTTTTTCTAAACCGAGAGAAACCAATTAAAGAAAAATGAGATTTAATAAAAGTAGAATGGGACAAAAGAGACATGCACAGAAGGGAGAGATAAAAAAAAAAAAAAGGACGCAAAGAAATCGAGAGAAAGCAGTTTTGATCCTACCCTTCTAGTGGTATTTCCGTTGCCATTTCCAGTGTTATTATGCACCAAAAAGTTGTTAGCATGAAGGCCACCTCCTGATCCATGGTTAACGAGGGAAGGAGGAACAAATTCTTCAGCCATGGGGTTTAACTTGGAAAGGAGCTCCTCCAAGTCCCTGATATCCCGCTTGTAACTCTCACCAACCTCTCCGTTCCTCTGCAAATCGGCGCCATTCGATCGCTGATGAGCCTGCACGAACCCAGATTTTCCTGGCGCACCATGCTGCGCCGTCATCGCTCCCCCTACTTGCATGTTCTGCACAGCTTTCTTAGGCACCTGGTCAAGGTTGTGCTGAACCTGTGACAGCTGTGCCTTGTGGTTGCTAACATGCGCCGATGGAGTTGTTCCCCTGTGCTGAGTCTGCTGTTGTTGCTGATGTTGCTGTTGAAACTGATGAATCTTCATATGGTACGGCTGATCGTGTGGCCTTAAAATTGGATTATTGTTGTTACTACTGTTTTGATGTAAATTAGGATCGACCATTCTCGTGCCTAAATGATTCTGCTTTGGTTGATCTAGATCGTTCGGTACATGCGAATCCGGCCCGACAGCTTCAAAATTCCGGGTGGAAGAACCAACATTAATCCCCAAATCAACACCAGCATTCTCTGCAACCGCCATGACCGGGACTTTGCTGCGACTTTTTGCAACCTATTTGCTTATTGATCGATCGATAGATGAAGAAGTCTGCTATAAAAAGCAGAAAATGTCCTCCAAATTACATCTGTAAATGAGGGTTTATCTGCTTCTCTAAATCGTCTCTATTGATCGAAAAGGAGACTTCCTCGAGATCGGTTTGCAGAAAACGAAAGGCGAGAAAGAAGAAAATATAGAAAAAACACAGAAGGAAATGGAAAATAAAAAAGAAGATAGAAAAACTTTTCTCTCTTTATTATTATTTTTTTCCGGGAAAAATAAGGAAGGGAGAAGTTGTTCGGATCGTCCGTTTTCTCTTTTCCGGACCTTGTTTCGGTAGACTTTACGACCTAAATTTTTCCCGAAAACCTATAATTGTAAAGCGGGCCGGCACGGCACAGCCCGCCAGCGGTGAACGGGCCGTGCTTCCCTCCCCTGCGATAAGTTGGGGATCGGCCCGGTACGGCCCACGGCCCGAGCCCATGCAGGCCAATGGTGTGTTGGGCCGGTCCGTGGGCCAGGGCCAAGAAGCAAGCTGCAAGTCGTGCTGTGGGCTCGAACTGTGTCCAGTTGGGCTATGGGCCAGGCTTGGGCCTAGGATGAACCGGGCCAAATTGTTTTTTTTATTAAATAAAATTAAAATACTTAATTTTCCTTTGGGAACAATTGAACAAATTGAAAATTAAAATTTCTAACAAATAAATGAAAAAAAATACTTAATAAAATACAAAATGTCAAATGGACAACAAATTAGAAAAAAAATAGGAATTTTATTTCATTGAAATTTGAAACTTTAACAATATAGTGGTCAAAAAATACTTAACAAAGTGGAATAAAATATAAAAAATATAATACAATTACAAATTAAAAATTATATTGTTGAAAAAATAACAAATAATTTAAATAAAAATATAAAATTGAATAACAAAATTTACAATAATTTTAAAAAATGTACAAAATTATTAAGTATACGAACAAAATACTGTCTTCATCATTTTTCTTCAAGTTCCACCTCCATCTCCATCTTGAGTTTGATCATCTACTTCAAATGAATCATCAAGGGTATTGCCATGCCTTCATTTGTCTTGTAATCTATCCTCAACATCTAGCCAATCTTTGAAGTAAATGCACATCTCCAGACTTTCATCATCCATACAACTTCTCTTGCCATCCAATACCTTAATACATGCACTACTAAAACAAGACTCAGATGGAACTATAGATACCCAAGGGGTTAGTAGATCACATGCGACAGGGATTTGATAATTTTTTTCAAGTCCATTCCACCATGCAAAAATATCAAAATTATTCATTCCTTTCGGGTTGAAGGAATTAATTAAACTAGAAAAAGTTGGTTGTAAATAAAAATTAAGTTAAGTAAATGAACTTGTTGAGAAGGTGGCATCAGATTTCTACGCCCTACTTATTAAAGACCAAAGTATATCTTTCACACTACTAGAACTAGTTGTTTTAGAAGTGGAAGTTGCACTTGTACAAATTGTAGATTTTTTATACCCTACCATATTAGATTCTTTTTTTTTTGGTAAATTACCATATTAGATTCATATAAATTATACATTTTAAATAATAAATTATCAACTATTCCTTTTGATTTAAAATTTTAATATTCATATTTTCACAATATGATTAAAGTAAATATCTACGCCATCTTTTTTTTCTAATCCTAGGATCTAATATTGAAGCTAAACAATAAATAGAAGAAATGTTCTCCCAGTATTTTTAAATTTATTTTTCATGTGGATTTTTTCAATATTTTGTAAAACATTCATTAACCATAAATAATTGATTAACTAAAAGACAACTTGTTAGGTAATAAACATCTAAAAATTCTTTAATTGCATCATAAAAACTATGTAAAAAATCTGTTATACAAATGGCCATTTCCAAATCTTCATCAAGTATAATATCATGTGGCATTTTTTAATTATAAAAATCAGAAATAAAAAAAAAAATTGTTTATAGGGAACACAAATTTCTAACATAAAATAGGTAGAATTCCATCTATATTGAATATCTAACATAAAATGTTTGGTTCTTGCTCCATAACTTTTAATATATATATATATATATATATATATATATATATATATATATATATNATATATATATATATAATACAATTTCTAATTTTAGAAATATAATGAGATAATACTTAAAGCATATTGAATACATAAATTTAATATGTGGTGTGCATATCAAATATGAAATAATTTACCATTAAAATAAGGTTTTAATTGAGATTTTGAAATATTTATTTTTGAACCATTATTAATGGCATTATCAAAACTAATAGAAAAAAAAAGTTTATTGACAATTCTATAAGCATGTGAAGTATTTAAAATACTTGCAGCAATAGTTGGGCTGGTATGTGGCCATTCAAGCCTAGTAAAATTTAAAAATTTATTTTTTTTTGTAAAAGCCAATTTTCATCAATAAAATGACAAGTAACACAAATATAACTTATATTGAATTTAAAAGTCCAAATATCAGAAGTAATTGCAACTCTAAAAATATAAATTAAAATTTGTTTATATGAATAAAAATTTTTCAAAGCTTCTGCTCTAATAGTATTTATAGAAACTCTTTTTAAATTGTGGATTTATAGAATTACATAAAAAATTAAAGTTTATTATCCTCGGCTAATAAAAATGGTTGTTCAGCATGTATAATATACTGTCAATTCTTGCCTCATTTTTTATTTTCAATATTTAAAAGTACCAACCCCCTCCCAATTTGTGTTTGGGATTTTTCTTTCCCTTCTTATTCTTCTTGTTTCTCATGGGTCAGCAAATGTCTGCCCAAATAGCTAGTACCACCCTTACTACAATAGCTAAATCCACTCCTACATTTTTTGGTAAAAGGCCCTTTTTCCCTTCCCCTCTACCATTTTTGTTTTAAATGGTTTCCAAAACCAAGCTAGTCAATTTAATTCCCTTCTTTTTCCTACCCCTAGCAATAGTACCAGTACTAAGGGTGGAAACTCCGGCAATTTCAGTAGCATCCATATCAATGTTATGACTGAATATCGTCAACATTAAACATGCTAGGGAATTGGTTTTAGAAGGAGTTGACAATTGTTTTTCTAAAAAATAAAAATTAATTTAATTCCACTCACCTAGATTGCCAGTTCAAAATCTCAACTTGATTTCAACGGTTGAAGCCTCTAAACCTCCAAAATTGCTAACTTGAGATACTTGAGCAAGCCTTCATCTTGTTGAAACTTGAAAAAAGTCGAGATTTAAGAATTTGAGAGTAGAGAGTGTATTGAGAGTATGAGAGAGTGTATGAGAGCCTAAGAGAGTATAAGAAAATAATTATTGAATTAATGTGGTAAGAATGGTGGAGAATCGGGCTATTTATAAAAATTAAAAATGAGTTAATTGCCCAAAATACCCTAATAACCAGCCATTTTGTAGTTGTTGGGGGTATTCTGGTCATTGTAAAGTCACTTATCACTTTACCCAAAATGCCCTCCCAAACTAATTGTTATATAGCTATCGAGGGCATTTTTGTTATTTTTTCTCCCATAGAGCCAAAATATATAAATACCCTCCTATATAGCTATTTATAGTTGTTGGGGTCCCAACAGTTTTTTCTCCCACTCTCTCATATTCGTTATGTAGCCAAATCAAAACCTCTCTCTCTCTCTTTCTCTCTCTACCTCCCTCCCTCCCTCCCTCTCTCTATTGTTTTCCCTCAATCTTTCTCATTATTCTCCCTCACTCTCCCTCTTGGTCAATATCTCCTTCTCCCTAAATCTCTATCGTTCTCCAATTGGTATATATTTCATAGCCAAGAGTTTCTTGTGAATTTTTATCAATTTGGTGTAATAATTTTTGAGCCATACCAAGTTGGTTTCATGTTATTTTGTACGATTTGATTAATACCATATAAGTGTGTAAGAAAATAAAACAAATGAGAGAGGGAGCGGGAGAGAAAATGAAGGAGAACGATAGAAATTAAGGAAGAATGAGAGATCGACCAAGAAAGAGAATGAGAGAGATTGAGGGAGAATGATAGGTAGATAGAGAAAATGAGAGAAATTGATATAGAGAACGTAAATACATAAACCAAAAACCATTTTTATTTATTTTCAAATCACATAGTCGTTGAGCAAATAAAGATGACTAAGAGAGAGAGAGACTAAAAACCCCTTTTATTTATTTTCCAATCACCCAACATTAAAGGGCAATTTCAATATAAGTTTTTTGTTGTGTCCAACATGGATTAAGAGTCCCATGTTGGCAACAACCACATAAGCCTCTGATGACATGGCAAGGGTTTTTATAATTTGAAATGTAGAGTTGGTTGTCAAAGTTATGTTGGTTTATGGACCAAGTCCGGATCTCCTACCCACGAGAACTCTGCCCCACGCCTACCCACAATACACTACCCCCCATGAATTTGGAACATCTCCCATAGAGGTGAGATGTTCTCCATGTGTGGCTACGATAATTGTGGGCAGGAGATTTGAATTCTTATGGACCAACTTGTAGCCCAAGTTTAAATGTACAACCGAATCTGATTATAAATTTCCTTAATTTAAAACTAATAAAAAAACAATGCTATTTTCTTATAGTGGGCCAATGATCCAACTTTTCCAAGAAGCCCATGATGACATAATTGAATAACAAATATTTAAGTTTATTTTTAATCATATTGTTACTTTTCTTAATTTTTAATTTCTATTTTAACTATGATATATCTAAAATTCAAGTAATTAATATGAATAAATTTTTCTCACATGCAACGGGATGTAGCGCGATCCGGTCACTCCTAGTTGGCACTCACGTGGCTCCTAAAAGGTACCTAAGATGAGGAAGAAGAAGAATCCCCGGGGAGTTTACCCGGTGGGGATGCTCCGACGCTTAAGTTAGTACTGTGAAGGAGAAGCAAGAAGAAGACGAAGGCTAAGAGTGCAGATAGCGCGTTCTCACTATACTTGAGAGATTAGAGGTCTCAAGAAGAAGTTTCTCTTCTGCCCTGATGGCTTTTATAGGGACACTCACAACAGGTTGGGCATAACCGCCTCTGGGCTCCTGCCACAGCCGTTATCTGCCAGGGCTACGCAGGTGGCCGTTGTGGCGTACGTCTCGCCTGGGTGAGTGACACGTTTCCAAAGTGGTAGGCACGCCTTTGCCTGCTGAGAGACATGGACGCAGACTGCCGAAAGGACTGGGACTGCGCCGTCAGTAAGGGATATGGCG